TTTAAAAATCCACTTAATTGTGGATGCCTTTGGATAACATATGCAAAATACAAGTGTTCAGATGCTTCTTTGAAAAGAGTAAAACAATAGGATAGAGCACCATTGTGTAAGAGACAGAAAAGGCTTGATATATCTACCAAGGATATCACTGCAGTTCTAGTAATTAAAAAATACTGTATGATGTAAGATTTTGTCAGGCACATTTAACACCAGTTGAAACGAGTTTTTTCATGATGCATTGTCATATTTTATAGGATCAGTCAAGAAATTTTATCAACATGCAAACAAATTAGCTAAATACAAAGTGTGCCATCAATCTGTTTACTTTTTAAAACAATGCGAGCTTAGACATCCAACTACAAACTGTTTTAATGAGTACCAGTTGTAACCAATATTTTTAAATACAGCACTGAATTTGAGACAATTCAAAAGGAATCATAGGAGCTAGTGTATTTTCACATTCACCTTCATGTAACAAACCACTTATTTTATTTACTGTGTTGTCCTTTCTCACACAAAAAAATAGTCTAACATGATGGTTTGCAAAATTCTAACAAGGCAGTTTAAAATGTTGCTTTCCATGGAGCAATGGAACATGGACAGTTTGTTGAATAAATAGTGCTGGGAAAACTGGACCACCACATGCAAAAAAATGAAACTAGACCACTACCTCTCACCATACACAAAAATCAACTCAAAATGGATAGAAGAACTGGACATAAGACCTGAAACCATAAAATATAAAGAAAAAAATATAGGTAAAACACTACAAGACATCTCAGTAACATCTTTAAAGTCTCATCACCTAAAGAAAAGAAAGTGAAGGCAAAGATAAACACCTGGGATTACATCAAACTGAAAAGCTTCTGTACATCAAAAGAGACATTAACCAAAACAAAGAGATACCCCACTGATTGGGAAAAATTTTTTGCACTCCATACAGCTGATAAGGGACTCATCACAAAGACATACAAAGAACTCACATGACTCAACAAAGTAAACAATCCAGTCAAGAAATGGGCAGAAGAGCTTAAGCATTTCTCCAAAGAGGAAATGCAAATGGCCAACAGGCATAGGAAAAATGTTCAACATCCTTTATAGTCAGGAAATGCATATCAAAACCACAACGAGATACCACCATACCAGTAAAAATGGCATATATCAAAAAAAAGAAGCAACAACAAATGTTGGCAAGGATGTGGAAAAGGAACTCTCCTACATTGCTGGTGGGAGTGCCAACGGTCCAACCACTATGGAAAGCCATCTGGAGGTTCCTCAGTCTACTAAAAATGGAGCTACCATACAACCCAGCAATTCCACTCCTGTGGACCTACCCAAAGGACATAAAAACACTGATTCAAAAGAACATCTGTACCCCTGTTTATTGCAGCACTGTTTACAATAGGTAAAACCTGGAAACAACCCAAATGCCAGAAAAATGACTGGATCAAGAAGATGTGGTATATATACACAATGGAATATTATTCAGCAATCAAAAAAGATAAACTCATGCCATTCACAGCAACGTGGATGGAGCTAGAAGGAACTATGCTCAGTGAAATAAGTCAGAAGGAAAAAGAAAAATATCGCATGATTTCACTTACAGCAGGAATATAGGGGAATCAAATAAGACATCTGTGTAAAAAAATAACAGTACAAAACACAACAAAGCAAAAACAAACAATTATAAATCAGAGACAGGAGGAGGAAGGAGGATCAGAGGGAGAGAGGGAGCAGCACAGGGGATTGGTGATGGTGCACGGGTGTATTGGTGAAGGAAATTATATGGGGACTATACCTGAGGGGATGGGGGGAAGCAAATATTATTTAAAAATGAACAATGATGTAAAAAATAAAAAAATAAAATTTTGCTTTCCATAAAGCATAGGTAAATTAGAAGCTGAACATCATACTTAATTTTAAAAAAATCTTTAAGCCTGACTCACACCCTAAAGATTTAGAAAAATGGTGGGCTCACTTGAGATTGTTTAATCAGTTTCTGTAAGTTTAAACACATCAGCAAATAAGCCACAGGTATTCAATTTTGCTATAATTTAAAATGTGAGACATCCAATAGAATCAAAGAATAATTTTCCCTGAACATCTTCACATATAATGGTTAGTCTTTAAGATACCAAGTGTTGAGGAAGGTTGGTTATATAACAATGGCACATTATTTTTTAGTAATTTCATGTCACCTGGAAAAGTTAAGGTCTATTTCTCTTCAGTTGGCTTTAAAAATTTAAAGTTAGCTTTAAAATTCCATAACATTCCACAAGCACCTACATCCATTTTCTCTAAGAGATAGTTTACTATCATGTGATCAATTCAGCTGACTCTTACTGGGAATTGCCTATGAGGCTCTTCAAATAGAAATGTTAAGTCCAAATTTTGCCTCTATGCTGATGAAAATCAACACACTGTGTGACCGTGAAATCACTGCAGAGGGACCTTGAATATGTACTCTAAATCTTTAATAACTGCTAAATCTCATAGTGGAGCTGCTGAAAATGAGACCTGTTCAAGATGGAGAAGATACCCTTGTTGAGAGCTAGAATTGCTTTCATGTAGGTTTTGGGGATGACTTGGTGAACCACTATCACTGTTTTAGAAAAGGGAAAATGCCCTTAAAGGATCTCAAAAAGTGACTCTTCCGAAAGTGATTAGAGTCTACATATAAACTTGCTGAGACACATTATGTTTAATTGTTTCTTAGAAGGTAAGAAAAAAAAAAGTCACCAGAAAACTGCACTATCTTGATGCAAATTCCTTAAAACAACATTTGGTCATATTTCTAAACCTTAAAAATAGTTCCAACTATACGCTGTTTCTTTACAAATTATATACTTATCAGTTTCAGGAAGTCTTGTGCACGACAATTAAATAGACAACCAGCTGAACAAAAACTGTTAAGAAAATAAATTTGTTGAGCAACTGGAACTGTATCGCTAGAAGACAAAGATTTAAGTAGTAAGTTAATGTGGTAATGAGGTTACCATTTGGTCATGTGCATAATTAGACACAACTGTGGTTAATTTTCAGTTACATAGTGCATAATTAGGGGAATTATTTTTAAAATAGCTATACAAACCTTCACAACATTAAATTATTTTTAACATGTTTTAAGACCACTGGATTCTTGTAGTCTGGGTGCCTCTCTGACTAAAGTCTGGTTACTAGAATAACTTTCAAAGTATCAGGATTTTCTCTTTTTATATAAATAAGGATATTTTTGCTCATATTAGCAGTGCTTTCTTGAACAAGATTTTAGCATGAATTGCTAAAATACATGGCAGACCCTCCCATTTTGGGGAAATGAATACATTCCATTAACACATATTTGCATTATCTCCAAGAGCTATGCTTTACAAAGTGATATAAATAGTCCACAAATATTAATAGTAAAAAGTTAATAGAAATCTTATATATGTGTATACATATACATTCATGCCTTCCATCTACAATACTCTGTTTTGGTCCTACCTATATCTTAATCTGCCCTTGTAGATTTTATTCTTTTTAATATTAACTGATCTTAACTGATAAATGACTTCATTATAACTGATGTACTTACTAGCACATTCACAATATGAAGATGGAATTTTACAGATAAAATTTAGGAGTTTTTAGGTTAGGGTTATAGGTGATCAAAAGTTAACAGAGACCTATCTCAACAGTCACTGACACAGTTTACTACTTTACAAAACAGTATCCATGTATACATCAGAATAACTCATGACTTCACTAGCAAGCAAGACTAACAATCTTCTATTGTCAATCATTTAGATTTGTAAGAGAAAACCCAAAGGTAAGAGCATCTGTTTAAATCCGGGGGTTGAGGGAAGGAGGGCATTCTAGTTCATAGATACATTATGCCATTGGTAAGCGAGGAATTGTTCAGTGTTTTCCTCCGACATCTTTAAGACTGTTCTTAAAAGTTTCCTTTTGGCTTTAAAGTGGGGTTACTTAGAGTAGGCAGTCTCTGAAGCAAAACCACTTACAAACTAATATTTTATGCTAAGGGAAGAAATACTACAGAAAAGCAAAAAACTTGAATGTTTCATTTTAAAATTTTGAAGGCACAGTTAACATTTATTCAGATTTGTAATTAAATAATACTTTATATATAACCACCCTGTCACAATTATAACTAATCGGGTCTAGTGAGTTAGATTTTACACTTCTTTCAAAAATGTAACACTACTGCATTCCATTTTCTATTTAGATGCAAATTAGTGGAGCACACTGGGAGAAATTCTACAGATGCAAGGACAATCCAAATTCACTAATTCCTGAAATAAGTACACTCTACAAACTCAGTTCTAGAAAATAAAATCAATCGGAAAGTCCAACTATTTAGAGTTACCACTTAAAGTGTATTTGACTATATCCAACTTTTTAAAATGCCAAGAAATGTACTTGAGTACTGCTGTCTACCAGTTATTAACAAGAGTTGCTAAAATTTCAGAGTGAAATCTCTACTCCCTGGCTTTCAGGTTACCTCCCTCCACCTCTACAGAACTGGAAACGAGCACTTATATAAATTGACAGGCTGAAAAAAGATGCACCAGAAATTAAGAATTCTGAAAAGGACTTCCCTCAGGTACCCATGCTGTCAGCACTCTTAAATATTAAGCAGTCGAATCACTTTTTAGGTTAAAAAGGGAGGTCACAATCAAGCAGACTTTCTTCAAACTAAGTACACATATATTGGTAACATTTCCATCTATTACTGTACCTGCTTTCTCCATTACATACCTCAAAGACAGGACAGTTCTTATGTACATAGTTTAAAATGCAGTTCTTAAAAAATGCAAACACACACAAACATGATAGGCTGCTATAATGTGTAGATTCTGTTCAACCCAAGAAATAAAGAACTAGACTTGAGTACTAGCAAAAACTCATCCAGGTTAAATTAGCAACTCTTCAAATACACTGGTCCTTTTGATCTAAGAAGCACCTTTGCTTTTTTTCACCTTTTTTATTTTCCTTCAGATTTAAGTGAAAGTTTCTTTTTGTATATAATAATCTCAATAGAAAATCTTCACCTGCAAATATAAGGTAGGATTTTTTTTTCACAGCGATAAGCTGTAGCATTGATTTCTCCAGGTATCAATGGAGAACAGAAAGTATGTATGACACTGTTAATTCCAAATTCTAAGAAAACTGTCCCAAGAGCCTGTTGCCACAGCCATGCCATCGTCAGTTACGCCTAAACAGCTGACACGGTTGTCATGACCAGCAAGAAGACCTGAAAAACAAAGTTCAGTAAAAAATTAGCAACTGGGGAATTTTAGAATTCAGTGGAAGCATAAAAGGACTAGGAGGGCCCTTAAAAGCTAACAGGCTCCTCAGAACAGGAGACTGACGGTGAGGTAACCTGGACATGTACATAGAATATAATTCTTTCCATTACATGAATTTTTGAACTGTGCATCAAATTATGTTTACATTTTCAAGTTATTCCATAATCACACTTTTTTGTAGCTAGATAAAAAAAGATGTAGACTTTTAGTCTACATCTCTAATAAGTCTATGATATTCCAAATTATGCCACCAACCTATGCTATTTTCAATAAAAACAAAATTTTAAATGGTAGCCTTTTGCAATAAGAGCAACAAAAACAGAATGAATCACTACTTCCCAAAATACCAACATAATTTATTTACTTTTTTCTGTTAACCACCAAATACTGTATGTAGTGTTTTGGTTATAACATTCTGAAGCCATTGTACTCGCCTGGTTTGAGGTTCTTTTATATATTTAAGTTAAACTCATTTGATATTCTGATAAACATAGGATAAAAAGACATTTCCATGCATTTGGGGGAAAAATGAGAACTGTAAAGACTTAATAGAATATATCAAATCTTCAACAAGAATATTTTTCTTCAATATACTATGAGTTTGCATTTATAATTTCTATGTAATTAAATATAGTATTTTCACCCAATCCCAGGAACAGGCGGTCATCTTGTCTAACTCTTAATATTTTCTGCAGTACCTCCAGTATGACAGTGGCAGGTAACAGGAAAATTTAGGTCAAAATAGGTCATTATAGGTCAAAATAACTTAGGTCAAAATTTAGGTCATTATAGGTCAAAATAATTTAAAAACATTGTGGCTTAAATATTATGTCACATTGAAAAGGAAAATGAATTTGCAATTCACAAGTCATGATTCATTTTAAGGTGAAGATTCCAGTTGAGCTAAGTTGAGTCTGTTTAGCTGAGTTATAAGTAAAGCAAAACTAAAAATCAGGGCCTGCCTGGTGGCGCAGGAGCTAAAGACAGTGCTATCAAGCTATCACCAGCCACTGCACTAGGAGTTAGATCCCTGGCCAGCCTGGGAGCCAACCTACATGGCGCAGACCTCTCCTGTCTCTCCCACTGCTCCATATTTCAGAAGATCTGCCTGTTCTGCTCCTCACTCTCTCTGGTGAATCCTCTCTCACACACCCCTGGCACCTCTGACTTACAACCCAGTTCTTGTATGCATAAATAAATCTTTAAAAAAATAAAAATCATATGTTTTAAAATGTGGGAAACAAACACTTTTACTTTATTATGGATACTAATGATTGAACTCAAGCAAAAACACCTATAATCTTAAAAGAGGTTTTGGGTGAGAGAGTAGCTCCAGGAATCTACTTGCACAATGTAGAAATTAATATTTCTGTAGTCTCTCAAGAAAAGTTATAGAAAATTATTTCAGGGTATGTTGATATTGCCTTTATTTGCTTAGAAACCCCAACAACTGTATAAGAATTCAAAAGGGTAAGGACATTAACTCACTAGAACTATAAGAATATGAGAGCAGACAGTGGCAACAACAGTCTGTAAGTAGGATGGTGGTAACTATGTTAGGAGACCCTAAAATACTAAGCTTGAAAAGAAAAATGTCTGCAAAGTCCCAAAACAAATTTCACTTGCAGCAACTCCGAAAGGGTCAGATACTAGCAGAATCAGGTAGCTCTTGAGCCAATTAGATGAAGAAAACAATAGAAACTGATCAGGGATCAGATTTCCAGGTCTTCCCCAGCTGCAAAGTCAGATGATTGGTCTGCACCAGGGCATAAGATTAGAGACCTCCCTGGTGAATCCTCTCACCCTCCCGCACATCTGGCCTGTGCCCCATTTCTTGTATGCATGAATAGGTGAATCTTAAAAAAAAAAAAAAAAAAAACAATTAGAGAGGGTAAAGGAGGGTCTCATACTGGAGGAAAACAGGCACAATTGAGATTTGTAATCTTTGTTGAAAATGGAAAATAAAATTTACTGGCTAATTATTTGGTCCCAGCTTTCCTCCTAAAATGAGCCAGCTTATACATTCCAGGCAAAAAAGTGGAAAATCCAAGTGAGGAGAAAATGGCCAGCCCAGGAGGAAAGGTGCTAAGATATACCAGAGGTTGCCCAATGAAAGTCTACTTACCATTCTCCAGTGAGGCCTATAGCCAATACACCCTAACCATGTGAGAGAGAGAGGCCTTTTAAACAGTGCTAGTGCCTCACTCTTAAATATGAACCTGTCTTTTAAGGAAATAATCTAGAAATAAGGATGAGGACTACAAAAATCAGAAGGGCGGGGTTGGAAAACACAGAAGATTATGCTTAAAGAATAAAACTTAGAGGGCCTCCCCAGTGGCGCAGCGGTTGACCACTGGGTTGTGAAGCTGCCTGCAGCCTCGGCAGCAGCGGTTCAATCCCCGCCCACCGGGTGAGGGTCCCACATGGCGCGCAGACCTCTCCTGCTGCCCACTGCTCCCCTCAGCAGTATATTTTGTCACTCTGCCTGTTCTGTTCCCCGCTCTGGTTCTGGTGAATTCTCTCACCCTCCCACGCTTCTGACTGTACCCAGTGTTTGTATAAATAAATAAATAAATCTTAAAAAAAAAGAATAAAACTTAGAAAATTTTTTTCATTAATAACTGCACAGAAATGAAAAAAGAATGGGAGTCTTCTTAAAATATTCTCAAATTAAAAAGACAGTAGCGAAAGTAGACAGTCAAAACTGTCCTGCAAGAAAAGGTGAACATTTCTCCCAAAAACACAGCTAAGAAAACAGGAAGGAACATAAGAATCTAAGAAAAATCCATGGAAGTTAGTAATGGGAGACTAGAAGAGAATGATAATAATGGACATGAAATTAAGTCCCTCAGATTTTCACTATACGAGGTGTAAGTTCCAGAATGAAAAACTCCATTGACTATGCACATAATGGATGAAAATGGATCCACTCCAAGACAACAAAATTGGAAGAAAATTGGAGGATTAACTACCAAGAAGCACATCAAAATTAATAATATAAATTAAAAATTAATTTAACTGAAGAATATGAAAAATACACGTAGCAAAGTCATCTATGTCTCATTGCCCAGCAGTAACAACTGTTTAAAAACTCACAATTATGTAAACACTGATGTTCTAGACAAAGTTCACTATATGGGAAAAGTTGGACGATAGAAAGGATGTGGCTGTGGTGAGAGGAAGGACATTAAAGCCAAACCCTCAGTGTCCATGATGACAGGAAAATAACAGATAATGCCTAAAGAAGTTTTGTGTTTTTTTTCAAATCAAGTAACAATACAGACATGTTATTTAAAGATATAAATTACTTAAAAAGCAGCTACGTTTGGGAGCACAAAATATGGGTTGGGGTCAGAGAAATGCTGTTTTGGTAAAAGGCTGTGTAAGAGTTTGCTTCCCTAAGGATAATTTTGGGTTTTTTTTGTTTTTTAAGAAGTAGGGTACAGACCAGAGTCGCAGGGGGTGAGAAGATTCACCAGAGTGGGGAGCAGAACAGGCAGACTGACTGAAATACACTGCTGAGGGGAGCAGCGGGTGAGATAGGAGAGGTCTGCTGCGTCATGTGGGTATCTCCCTGGCCGGCCAGGGATCAAACTCATGCCGCAAAAGGCCATGGACAGCCTCACAGCGCTGTGCTCAACCCCCTGTGCCACCAGGGAGGCCCAAGATAATTTTGATTACAATTTTTAAAAATCACTGTATAGTATGACTCAACACACACACACTAACATTCGGAGGGTGCTGCGGGGAGCACTCAGAGCTTGGCGGTAAAGGACAACTGTGGGTCTGCGTAGGGTTTCGCACAGACCAGTTCCCAGAGAAAGGTGACCCAGAGCGATTACAAAGTTTCCTGTCAGTTTATAAGAAATTTGCAGTTTGGGAAAACAAAGACATTGATATTCACTATTCATCTTTATACCAACACTTACTAAACAAGAAATTATTACAGAACTAGCTGTCACTCTTCAGAAAACAAACCTGCATGTGATTTATGGATGGGAACATGAATGAGGACTGCCAGGTTGCCCTCAGCTCCAGGGTGAGCAGGAAGCCTCCAAACAACTGATGACAACCTTTTTATGCTGCCAGATAAAATCAAAACTGGGCAGTGCTCCTGCCTGCCTGTGCCTATGTAGGTGTTCCTTTTCATAAAACTTTTTCCTGTGGAAAGCAGCAGCAGAAGCAGCTCTCTGCCCACCTGAAACTGTACAGGTGTCTCTTTTTCTTTCTCCTTTTCCTAAAAAACCTGTCCCTTTAAGATATAAAAAAATCAAAGCCACATGTGCATTTATTTACTAACCTGCACGATCTCCTTTTAGCGTATCCCAGACATTACAATTAAAGTCATCATAACCAGCTAACAGGAGGCGCCCACTTTTTGAGAAGGCTACGGAAGTGATTCCACAGATGATGCTGTCATGAGAATACATTAATAACTCTTGGTCTGCACGAAGGTCAAAGAGCCGGCAAGTGGCATCATCAGAGCCAGTAGCAAAGGCATATCCATTTGGGAAAAACTAGAAAGAAAAGTAACAAAGGAAATACACAAAAAATCACATGAGGCATGGCAGAAGACAAGGCTAGATTCAAATCCCAACTTGGCTTCTTACCAGGTGAATGACGATGGGCACTAAAGATGCCTAAACCCTTTGAGCCATTGGTTAGGATGGAATGAAATAGCAAGTGCCGAGGACACAGCCCACTGTTGAGCACATAGCAGGTATTCAGTGAGGGCTGGCGCTGGCACTCCACGTGTCTCATTAGAACAGTTACCTCAAATACTATTGAGAGAATTTACTGATGTATATTCTTAAAGAAATATTCAAAATTCCCATCATGAGAAATAAATAGGAAAGATTTTATAACATAGAACATACAGCATTCCAGTTAGATGACATTATAAGGCTAAGCTAGTGGTAAGAGAACTATTCATTATTAGTTTATGAAACTTACTGCTCAGTTACTGGCTCTACTCAACGTTGGTTTTTTACAAAAAGGAAATCACTTTTTCCATAGATCTATTGGCCATCTGTCATACCTCTTTTATGAACTGCTTATTAATGACCTTTGCTATTTTTCACCATGCTCAGTACTGAACTTGCTAATTTATAAAAAATAAAATGAAGACTATAAATTTGGTTTACTTCCCCCAAAATAGAAAGCAGTTTTTAATTTTTATGTAGTCATATTTGTTTATCTTTCCCTTTGAGATTTCCTTGTTGTACGAATAAAATTCCTTTCCCAGGTTAACTGACGTTCAATTATATTTTCTTGTTTCTTTTTTAATGACTTCACTTTTTACATCTTCATTTTTATCCATGTGGAATTAATTTGATATAGAGCATTCATTGTAAGGATCTAATTATTTTTTTTTAATCTTAAATTTTATTTTTATATTCCCCCATACAATTGCAAACGCCCCATTCTGACCCCAATCCTTCCCCTCCCGCCCCCCACCCCCCAAAAAGTGTCTCTGGTTCATAGTTTTTTGTTGATTTTGATTTTCACTTTCTTATATTCATTTTCCTGGTCCCTTATTTAAGTTTTCTAGATTCCTGCTATGAGTGAGACCATCCGGTATTTTTCTTTTTCTTTTTGGCTTATTTCGCTGAGCATGATCCCTTCCAGCGCCATCCATGTTGCTGCAAATTGCATGTGTTTATCTTTTTTTAATGCTGAGTAATATTCCATGGTATATATGTACCACATCTTCTTGATCCAGTCATCTACTTTTGGGCATTTGGGTTGTTTCCAAAGCTTAGCTATTGTAAACAGTGCTGCTATAAACATAGGGGTGCAGGTGCTCTTTGGAATTGATGTTTCTGTGTCCTTTGGGTAAATACCTAGGAGTGGAATTACTGGATCATATGGAAGCTCTATGTTTAGTAGGTCCAGAAATCTCCACACAGCTCTCCATAGTGGTTGGACCAGTTTGCACTCCCACCAACAGTGCAGAAGAGTTCCTTTTTCTCCACAGTAAGGATCTAATTAAAGTTTCTTAATAGTTAAGCAGTTGTCCCAGATGTTAATTAAGTAATCCTTTTTCTACTGATTTCATTGCTATAGCTATTACCAAACACTTATATACACAAAAATGCTAGTTTTGAGTTTTTGGTCAATCCCTTCTTGTACCTGTGATCCACTTTCTTTTTTAATCATAATTTAAAAGTAAATTTTATTATCTGTCATGGTAAAGCACCATTGTTATTCTGCTCCAAGTCAGTCTATCCTCTCTCTTTTTTTTTTTTTTTTTTTTTTTTGCACTTAAGTTTCACATTTGGCAAAGTATCTTTTCTCCATATTCCTTAGTTAGACTCCTCTCAAAAACCTAAATCCACTAGGAGTTTGATTAAAATTTTTATTAAACTTGGGGCCTTCCTGGCGACGCAGGGGTTAAAGTCTCAGTGATATCAAGCTACAGGCAGCTACTGTGGCATGAGTTCCACCCACTGCAGGCCCGGGAGCTAACTCACAAGGCACAGCAGACCTCTCACAGCAGACCTCTCCTGTCTGGCTTGCAGCCCCCCTTAGCAACGTTTTTCAGTAGATCTGCCTGTTCTGCTCCCCACTCTCTCTCTGGAATCCTCTTACCTCTGAAACTCTGGCCTAAACCCCAGTTCTTGTATGCATAAATAAATAAAAATAAATCTTTAAAAAAATTTTGTATTAAACCTAAATATTAGCTTGTAAGCTAAAGGATTAGTGTACAATATGCATTCTTCATATCCAGTAACACTGAATATATTTCCAAGTATTATAAACAAAGTTGACCAATAACATATTATGCTCTTTTAAATAAAGATTCTGCACATTTCTTGGAAATTATTCCTTGCCTATTTCATATAGGATTTTGCTATTCTCAATAGGATTTTCTTCCTTTCTATTTTATCTGGCTATTATTGCTATAGGAAAGTTATTGACTTTAAAATAATTTTTGTAGTCCAGAAAACACAATAGACTTTCTTGAGGTAGCTAGATAGTTAAACACATCACTTGCAAATAATGGTATTTTTTCTACTTAAATGTTTTTCCTACTTCCTAATGCATCCCTTATTTCAGTTTTGGGTCCAATTTTATAGGCTGGAAGTTTCAGGACAATTTAAACTGTGATAATGGTATTGATGTCTTATTTAATAACCAAGTATTTTTCTGTGTGGTTCACTGTCTAGAGGCCCCCACTCACGGCAATGGTACAGACAGGTAGTGTTAGTGGTGAACAGGTTCTTGGAAATACAAGTACTTTACTTTAATGCTTTCAGGATGGTTAAAGCTTTGTCCCAAAGGAAATGGCTTCTCCATATCAAATATATACAATATTTTTCTCCTCCTTTTAAATTTCCAAAAAGGTACAAGGAGCCCTCTTGCCAAAATTTCTTCTACCTATCAAACATCCATTAATCATCCCAGGTTACTGTGAAGTTCCTGTGAATGCCTTCAGTAATGCAAAAGGCTTCACCAAACCCTTACTGCCTGCTTATAATCCAGTGGTTTGACCATTTTCTTCCATTCTAACATCCACCAAGGTACGCCCTGTCGTTTCTGGCAGGAATCCAGCACTATCATTTGCACACATTATATCAGGAAGTAAGATTAAACCTGTTATCTATCCCAAACCAGAACAGAGAAGCCTACAGTGCAATACAGGCCCCGCCCCGCATAACACCCAGTTCAGAAGATTACCTCTTCTGGCTCAGAGTGTAGGAGGCAAGCACACACGTCCTCTCTGTTGCAGAGACAGGATGACCATACATCCGTTACCCAGAACAGAACCCATCTCTCTAAATTTAGAAATAAAACTTACTGTTCACCTATAAATAAAGATTTAGACTTATGGATCAAAATGTCTCCACTTTTTTTGAAAAATCAAACCCTTTTTGGGGAGTCAATGTAATAAGAGAATATTGTTTATAAGAATCTTTGAAGGTAGTTTGCTATTAAAATCATGCTACAGAGATCCACACTTTAAATGCACGAGGCATTTTCCTTAGAATGCTATGCACTTACACTGACAGCATTAATATCTGACACATGTCCCGTGAAAGACTGTCTACACATTCCATCTCGAATATCCCATAATTTGGAAGATGCATCACAAGCCCCAGAAACAAAAGTCCTCATGTCAGGACTCAGAGAAAGACTCATCACGTCTCCAGAATGCCCAGTGAATGTGGTGGTCTGCTGGGCAGTTTCGATGTCCCATAAAGCACTGTAATTAAAAATAAATAAAAATGATTAATGACAATTATTCTCTCTTACATTAGTTCTCACTACTCTCAACCCACAAAATCAGCATTCTTCTGCAATAAACTTACCAAGTTGTATCTCCTGAACTTGTAACAATTTGGGTGTCATCTAAAAACCGACAGCAGGACAAGTAGCCTATAGGATACAGAATAACACATTTTAGGTTACTGACCGCTGAATAACTCAGTTGCATCTGAAATGGTAATATATGTGATAAAATTATAATCCCAGGGGCAAAAAGCATTTGTTAGTATAGATTATAGTTCTACTTCTAAGTATTTTAAACTATATGCTGTCTACAGCCACATTTTATCAACAAACTGTCAGGTATTTACTATGTCAAAGACAACAACTCTCTAAGAGTTGCAAAGTTCAGTAAGACACGGTACCTTCTACCCGTGACATTACCTGAGCGAGGGAGACAACCAGTCACACAAATAACTATAATCTATGGCAGCCTGAGTGAGACACCTTGGCAAAATAAAAGTTCTCTGAGAAATTTGGAACAACATCCTCACCTTTTCAGCAAAAAGTAGCATTTGAATGACTAGCATTCCGTGGTGTTTTAAAATGTGGCAATGGCAGGAACATGCCATTATAAAGATTTTGTTAAAAGCATTGTCAAATAGTATCACCAAGAATTCAGAGCAAAAATCAAATGAGTGGCAATAAATACCCTAGTAACACTGTTAACCAAATACTGTATTACTGAACTTTGGCAAGGTCCACTGGCTAATAAAGCAATACATATCACATTATGAAAAAGATTTCATTAATGCAGGTTAATACATGCCTTCAATCACATGTATTAATTAATTAATTAATGATTATAAATGCCAAAATCTCCCAATTGTTACATGGTTACAGGGAATAGAGAAAATTATATTTGCTTTCTTTTTGCATTTTTAAAAATTTTTTGCAGAAAGTTTTTCATTTTTACAAAAATAACACAGCTGTCTTGGAAAGAAAAGTAAAATTATGGTCATCATTTGTATGACAATAAAAAGTTAGTGCTTCTATGATTCACAGTAATTTCTACTCTCAATTGATTAGTACTCATCCTGTGGCCAGCTGGGTACAACTTGTCACTGGTTCTCCTTGATCAGCTCATTCTTCAGGAGGCAGGCTTGGTAGGGAGTAATATTTCATTTAGCTCACCTGTGTGGCCAGGTAGCTCTCGGCTCACTCTCACATTTCCCTCTCTGGTTTTTAAGTTATATATAGAGCAGATGTTGTCCAGTCCTCCACAAGCAACATAATTGCCAGAGGGTGCATAAGCACAGGTCATCACCCAGGAGGACCTCAAAGGAATAGCATGCATCTGCATGGGGAACAAGCAACAAAGTTATGATGAAGTAATGATTTCAAAAATAGCAAAAATAGTCACGTTATTTTCAAATCTATTTACAATAAAGCAGTTCTATTAAAATTACATTTAGGAAAAATAAGCCAAATGAAATAAGGAATTCAATGCTTTGAGAAAGTGAACAATGAAAACTAAAATACTAAAGCACACTAACATGCCTGTTTTCAGACATAAGGAGTGCTTTTTTCAGGTGTCAGCCTCTTAATAGAAGCAAAAACACAGGATGTTTCAATGCCCCTAGAGCCATCTGATATATTAAGTGTAAAAAAGTTAAAGAACACAACCTAATCAAATTCTTTGCTTTGTAGTGGTGCTCAAAAAGAGAAATCTTCTTCACTATGACACTGAACAATACAAAGGGACATGATAACTAACAAGTATGAGCATCAATTAAAATGGCTCTTCCATGAAGAGACAGCACTCCTATTTTTCTATTACTGGTGCATATGCTGTGGCTCAAAATCAAACATCCAAATGCAGGTCAGGTGGCAAAAATTTTGGCTGTGTGGGAATAGCAAGAATAAAATGTCCATATAGAGAATCAACACATCATATGGTAACTACTAGCTTTCACTTAATATTGTATTTCCAAAATACATTTATTTGTTTTAGGAAAATATTGTAAAAGATACATGCCAAAACTTATCAATATATAAAAACTATTATATTACAGATGTCTTAACTGTCTTTAAAATCTCAGTCACACTAAAGCAACTAATTACTTTGCAAAACAGGACTTTCAAATCTTTAATGTAAATCCTTGCTTATAGAATCTCAAGGTATTGGACTGTGAGAGTTTCCCTGAAGCTTTTCATACTGCTTAACACCTTCAAGGCAGGGATTCCTTCCAGCTGACATGTCAGGAGTATCTGCTGACTTTCACCACCAAGGGATCTAAGTAAATTGGAATTTGCCCCCAAACTACTATATCTTCTCAGCAATCCGGAAACACAAATCCATGCCTGCAATGGTCCAAAGAAAAGCTTCACACTAGCATTCTAGGTTTCCCACAACTAGAAATAAAAATTTCAGGGGCATTGACACATTAGGAAATGGGAATTGTTTTAACAAAATCACTCATGGCAAAACTGATGAAAACTCATTTCTAATATTCAAATAAGAAATATGAGACTTAAGTAAAAAAAAAAAAACTGAAAATATTCTTGTAATTGTCTTTGGGAATAAAAAAGGGCTAAATAATAAACACCAAAGAGGAAATCTAGAGGGAACTAGATTAAAATACAGGGAATAAGTTTATCTTAGAAATCAATTAAGTCTGATATAATAGAATAAAGGAAAGAACTGGTGAACATCAAACCAAATACAAGTTTTCTTAAAAGAATGATTAAGAAATTCTACCTTATTTGTTGTATAGCTATCCCAAATAATTAATTTTCCATCTTGGGAAGCACTGACTAGTAGCCTGGAGGAACAAACATAAAAATAATTTGACAGGGGAAAAAAGTAGTTTAAATTAGTTACGTATTGCATTAAAGTAGAATGGAAAAGAAAAGAGTAACTATTTCATATTAAAAACTTGGCACTAAAATATTCTCCCAACTTTAAAAAATTTATTCTGCATGGCAAGAATTTTCAAAATAGCAAAATTTAGACATTTCACTAAAAATACCTCTGGTTATGATTCTTTCACAGTGAACATTCTAAATTTTATTCAAGATTCTGCAAATATTAGCTGGCTGATTTAATATTTACTCACTTAAATTCAATGAGAATAAAGTACATACAAGCATAAAACCAAGTTCACTGAATCTAAAAATATCAACTGAGAGTTTGTGAAGCAGGGCACTATGGGTACAAAGCAGGAAAAGCCACCTACCATTGAGGCCTCTATCATCTAGTGAAAATAGACATTTATAGAAATTTATAATAAATCAAGTAAGTGAAAACTGTCAAGGTGTGGTATTAAAAAAAAAGCAACACTAAGTAAAAGAGAGGCAATTAACCACTAGTTGAGTCAATCAAGTCAAATCCTGCAAAAGAGAATCCATATTGAAAAAAATGGAATTTGAAGCACTAATGAAAAAGTCTATATTCTGGGGGTGGTGGTATGTACAATCAATATGTAGAGAAATATAGTAGTAGAGAAATATAATAGGTGTCTCCAGAATTGTGAATTTTCTAATTATCTAGAGTTTGTGAGAAATGGAAAAAATAGTTGAAAAAAGTAGACTGGGCTTAGACTGCAGAAGCTTGTTTGGTAGGCTAAGTATGAACTCTTATCAAAATAATTGTTTGTTACAAAGATTTTGTTTTGTTTGGGAATTTTATTTTTCACTATTGTATAAAATTCAAAAAGTACAAAAGGATGCATAGTGAAGAAAATCACCTCCCATCCTATCACCCAGCCACCCATTTCCTCATACTTCATCAGTTTCTTTTGTGGCAACTGCTGTAAGTTTTCATGAAAAGGGAATATCTTATAGTAGGTCTCGGATGAAATCTTAAGTAAATTCTTCAAAAGTGAACTGGAGTCATCAGCATTGAGTTGAGAAGAACATAAAGAACTGATAATCAGAATGAGAAAGGTTCTTTGGTGATACCTTTTTAAAAAAACAACCATTTTGAAAAAATTTTAAGGAAAAAACCACTGACATTGTTTTAATGATAGTATTTTGCATTAAAAGCATGCTGTATCATTTTTTTAATCACAAGTTTCTTTAAAAAAAACAATAAAACATCTGACCAAGCTTGATGCCAGTTGTCAAATTATATCATTTATTTATCCCTTCCTAAGAGGCACATGTTCTAATTACAGTACTCAAATATCCCATTCACATGTAGATGTGCCAAGCATTAGTAACAGGTGAGTGACGCTTCTGCACAATTTTATTTTCTTCTGGAAGAAGAGGAAAAACGTACAATTTCTATTAAAAAATGCTTTTCCCAAATAAAATTAAATAAAACAAGTCAACTAATACAGCAGCAGACTAACCTACTGTGAGTTTGGAAAAAGTGCAGACTGCTTTATAATCCTATGAACAAAGTGAACTGTGATGACCACCTGTCCAGCCACCCACCTGCATACCACACATCAGCAGTGTATGTGTGTGTGTGTGCATGCACATTCATGCACGCATGTGAACACATGCACATTTATGTCACTCTATCCTTTGTGAGTTAAGGTAGTAAATAGGGCAATATCCAGTAACATATATAGAAGAAATTCAACAAATACTTAACTGAGGGGCATCCCTGGTCTCAGCACTATGAAGCTATGGGCAGCCAGTGCAGCATGAGCTGGATTCCAGGCCAGGGAGCTAACCCACATGGCAGAGAAGACCTCTCTTGTCTCACCTGCTGCTCCCTTCAGCAGTGAATCTCAGTGGATCTGCCTGTTCTGCTCCCCATTCTGTCTCTGGTGAATCCACTCGCTCCCCACCACATCTCTGACCTACACCTCACCTCTTGTATGCATAAATAAATAAAATGAATCTTTAAAAAAATAAACAAAAAATAACTGAATATTTAACCAAAATTCTTAACTACAAATACTTAACTAAAATGTCAAGGTAAATATACAATAAAACTGCTTTTGGCACATTTAAAAACAAAGTGCAATACTGTACTGTAAAGAAATCTTTTTCTAAATAGCTTTCATGGATCATTAATTTCTAAACTTTTAAAAGTTGATAAATATTGTTAGTGAAAGCCAAACTATTCCTTTGGATCATTTTCTGCAAATACTTCATAAATACAATTTAAACCAAGAAAAGGCTAATTACCTTAACACACACAACTAGTCTGATAGTTTGAAAACAGCAGAAACAAACCTTGAGTCATATCCCCAATGCATGGCATAGATCTTAGCAAGGTGGCCCCTCAGCGTACGCCTTGTTCGCATTTGTATTCGACCCACGGTGTCCGTATTTGACGTGATCTTTAGAAAGTGACAAAAATGTTATCCTTTGCCTTAAACATAGCTCAGAAGATAACGAAAACTAGAAAAATTAATAGGCAAAACGGCAAACAGGAGGGCGTGGGGAAACCGGAGGAAGGTAGCCAAAGGGTACAAACATCCAGTTAGATGTCACAGAGCACAGGGTGGCAGAGCCAGCAGCGGCGTGGGACACACAGCACAGCTGTAAGAGTGAGTCCTGAGTGCTTGTCACAAGCAGTAAATGTTTTCGTCTTCTTTATTTTTTTATTATATCTCCATGAGGAGAGCGCTGTTAAGTGAACCCACTGTGGTGATCATTTCACAATATTTGAAAATCAGACCATCATGCTGTATGCCTGAAACTTGAAGGAGCATGGTTCCAAAACAAGAAAAGAGGTAGCTGTAACAGACACCACCGTATTCAATTTAATTTTAAAAATTTAAGTAAAAGAACACACATAAGATGAATGCACAGCAAATTAAGTTAATTTAATATAAATAATTCCATGGCATCATTACAGGACTGATCAAGAAAAAGTGTGATTAACTTAAAATGATCCTACTTGCACATTTTCCAGTGGGAATATCTGCTGTACACTATTAACTGAAAAATAACTGACATACTTTTCAACTTCAGTAAAAAAAAAAAAAAAAAAAAAAGCAGTCAAATAAAAACCTAACTCTTGATGATCAAAGAGTAGGACGTTTATCATTCTATCTATAAGAAGTCAGGTAAAATATTTCCTTAATAATAGTGATTAATATTTGGGCCTCCCTGGTGGCGCCAGGGGTTAAAGTCTCAGTACTATCAAGCTATCACCAGCCACTACAGCATGAGTTCAATCCCAGAGAGGGAGCTGAACCCACAAGGCTCAGCAGATCTCTCCTGTCTCACCAGCTACTCCCCTCAGCAGTGTATTTCAGTAAAATCACCTGTTCTGCTCCCCATTTTGTCTCCGGTGAATCTTTCCCCACTGGCCCTGGCACCTCTGGCCTACACCCTGGTTCTTCTACGCAAAAAAAAAAAAAAAAAAAAAAAAAAACCTAATAAAAAACACTTGCACAGGGACTGATAGATTGCAAAGAGTTATTAAATAGAGATCTCCTGATTTTTTCCAATTAAGTTCTAATAAAAACAATGTGAATGCCAAAAAAAAAAAAAAGAATGTGAATGCCATTTGCATCAATTTGAGCTGTCTCCTGTAAAATACTTAAATGAACTGAGGCTAAAAATCATTTTACCTGAACAAGGGTTGCATCGTTACACGCTTTCCTAGCATCCTAAAGTAAAGAAAGATAAAATACATTTAGATATGAAAATGTAGATTTGCAAAATATTTTTTACTGTATCACATCTTTTATTTTAAATAACTTTAGATAAAATACACATAAGATTAATCAGCTTACTTATTTTAAGGTGCAACTATCACCACTCTATAATTCCAGAACATTTTTGTGATCCCCCAAAGGAAACCCCTTATCCACCAATTCTCTCTCCTCATCCTCTGGCAATCACGAATTTGCTTTCGAACTCTATGGATTTTCTTCCTTTGGAAATTTCATAAAAATAGAATCATACACTATATGACATTTTAATCATTTAGGGTAATGTTTTCAAGATTCATTACACTAAAGCATTTATCAGTGCTTTGTTTTTACGATTGAACAATAGTTCACTGAATAGATAAACCACGTTTTGTTAATCTATTAATCAACTGGTGAACATTTGTTTCCACTTTTTGGTCTTTACATGCAATGTTGTTACGAACATTCATATCTGCGTTTTTATGTGTACATATGTTTTTAATTCCTCTGGGTATAAACTCAGGAATAAACTGGCGGGGGACATGCTAACTCTATTAAAAAACACTGACAATTTTCACAGTAGCTGCACCATTTTACATTCTCACAATTTCTTCACATCCTCACAACAGTTATTGTCCATTCTTTTGCATGTGGAGATCCAGTTGTCCCAGTATCATTCATTGAAAAAACTATTCCTACCCTATTGAATGGTCTTGTTACCCTTGTTAAAATCAGTTGATCACAGATGTATGGGTTTATTTATATTCTCAATTTCACTCCATTGTGAAAATACACTTTTAGTTCTTAATTAAAATATTTTTTAAAATCATATCTGAGTAAAAAATGAACTAGAGTAATAAAGTGATAATATTTGCAATTATATTTGTTTCCACAGAAATAAGAGTTCTAAGTTTCCTTCTATTTGTTCTGGATGAGATGACAAGAAGGATTTATAGTATAATCCAGTTCATTTAAGAAATATCAAATTGGTAACATGTCCTTAAATGTCTTGCAAATATACTGTACATAAATATTGTTATTAATAATAAAATATTTTTGGGGCCTCCCTGGTGGCACAAGGGGTTAAGTCTCAGCGCTATGAAGCCAGTGAATCACGAGTTCATCCCTGGCCAGGGAGCCACCCACATGGCACAGCAGACCTCTCTTGTCTTGCCTGCTGCTCCCCTCAGCAGTGTATTTCAGTAGATCCACCTGTTCTGCTACCCACTCTGTCTCCGGTGAATCCTCTCACCCCCCGTACCTCTGGCCTACATCCCAGTTCTTGTATACATAAATAACTAAAATAAATCTTTAAAAATAATAAAATATTTTTGATATAGTATGAATAAATTCTATATCTCAAGATAAAATGTTATGTAATAGAAAATATAAATGGGGTAGTGTCTATATTTTTACAGCAAATTCCCTATAGGCAAGCAGGCTTGTATGCCTAAGCATTACAGGGCAGCTTTTCCAAGAGACCCCAAATTTTTATACCACTGAAGGGAACTGCCAAAGGAGGAAGTGCAACAAATCAGTATGACAAAAATCAGTAAAGTCAAGCTTATAGCATACTTAATAAGCAACAGAATATTGAAACCCAAGTTAACAAATTCACAAACATGGGAAAAATCAGAAATGCAATTAATTCTTCCTATTAGACTTAAAATAAATTTTTTTTCACCAAAAGCTAGAGCAGTATTCTCTTCAACTTTGCTCTTCCCTACTATGCTTAGCGTACGCCTGTGTCAAGAGGAGGTACACAATATTTGTTGAGCAAATGTTCCAAATGGACAACTTGTTCCAGTCAAGGGAGAAATAACTGATCATCTTGGTTGCCCTTTCTGCCTATTTATAAACACTTAGAATATTTCTGCATAAGGGTGTTCAGAAGCAGTTGCACAAATATATGATTTGATTCTCTCATTCTTAGTCAAATTGTGAGTTTAGAAACCTTATTTGGCAAATAATAATGTCACCCACATTTCTACAATGAAAAGAAGTTCCAGAAATGACAGAGATGGTCTGTTCACAAGAATCAGTGGAGTCATGTTCCAAAAGCAGTGCAGTAGAAAACTAAATGCTATAAAAAAGTTCTCTGATTTAAGCTTTATGAAATGAATTATCATTGTTTGGATGATCTTTCTTGATTTACTTTTCTGGTAAAAAATCTGTTGAACACTGCGTCAGGCACTATGCTAGGCACCGTGAATACAGCAGAGGAAAGGCTAAATATCACTGCTCTTTTAGAGCACACTTTAATGTTAATCAAATAATTTTTGAACTGAAAATGAATTGAAGTGTAAATAGGTAGTAAAAACTATAATATGTTGGAATATAAAAATTCCATGAAAATTTTAGCAAGTCATAAATTTATATTATGCAGACATTCTATTTACAAAGAACTTACTTTTCAGAACATTACTATCCACTGTAAAAGTGAATATAAAATAATATTAAAGGTTGAATTTCATATTTTCCACTGGAAGAAATATAAGATCTGACATTAACATCTTCATGTAAAATAAGAGTAACATTTTTCACACTGAATCAAAAAAGTAACAATTACAAACCAAGACAAATCTGTTCTGTTTTTGAATTTAAAATGAATTGTACTTATCAAATACATTTGATAACTAATACAATTATGTTATGTGTTTATGCCATATTTAACTACATATATAGATTATATTCCCGGAGGGGCCAGAAAGAAGGAAGAAAGGAGCTTTAAGTATAGTGTGACATGATTAAACTAAGAAGAAAAGTACACAGTCCTTTCCATACTTGTGGTTACTTGAAATCATGGGAGGAGATGATTCAGTGGGCACCTGCACCCATGACATCGTGTTTTTTGGGATGCTGAGGAGACATGAAGATGATTAAAACACAGAGTTGTCCATCGAGAACAGGTAGTAGAAGCAACTGTGCAGAAGGAATTATAACACACGGCAGGTAGTGACCAGTCGAGTGACACCAAGTCCAAACTTTATGTAAGTGAACTAAAGTGCCACTTATAGGCATTGGGCTAAGTCCTTTACATGTCATTTCATTTAATCTTCTCCACCAGCCTAGACTGCAGGCATTAGTATTCTCACTCGACAGTAGCGATATCAAGCATCAAGTAGTTAAAAAAAAAAAAACCTTGCCTATGGTCACAAAGTAAAAGGTGAAGTCCATGTTTCACTGCCTTTCAATAAAAGGAAAAATAAAGCCAAGAACTCTGATAAGCTTTTTAGAAGATGACTATGACTCAATGAATAATTGGAGACCTATGAGGCAAAGTAGTATAATTACAGGCAAAGGAAACAATTTGAAATCTTTCTGTTTGTTGATATAAGCACGACTATATTTGACACTCTTCCCCATCCTGTCATGGTTTGAAAGTTGTGTCTTTTAATTTTGTTGCAGAGGGAGCTTGTATTTGTTTCTTATGCCCTTAACTGTATTATTTACTTCCAAGTTGACTTCTAGTTATCTAGCATGCCACTAATAATTATTAATGCTTTACTGCACTCTAATATTGTGTAGATTAATGTTTTCCTAGTATATTACAATGTGATAATATCTTCCTCATTAGATGAATGAAAATGAAGACAAGAGCTATCAGACATGTGGGATCCAGCAAAAGCAGAATAAAGAGGCAAATAATAGCAATACAGGCATACATCAACAAACAGAAAGATTTCAAACAAACATCCTAATCTTACATCTTAAGTAAGATTGAAAATGAAGACCAAATGGAAAAGAAACACAGTAAAAGGAACAAAATCATAAAATTAGAGTGGAAATAAATCAAATAGAAATCAAAAAAGATAATCCAAAAGATTAATGAAACCAACAACTTGCTCTTTGAAAACAAATTTTGCCTATAAACAAAATAGGCAAAATTCTAGTTAAGCTCACTACGGAAAAAAAGGGGTGAAATTCTAATAAACAGAATCAGAAATGGAAGAGAAGTCACAAGAGGTATCACAGAAACACAGAGGAACATAAGACACTATTATGAATGTCTTTATGAAAATAAATTGGATAACCTAGAAGAAACAAAAAATTTCTAGGAATCACACAACCTCCCAAGATTGAATGGAGAACGCTGGTACATTACTGGAGCGAATGTAGCCTAGTTCAACTCCTATAAAAAGCAGTATGGCAGTCTTTCAAAACATTACAAAAGGTTTATCATCTGATTCAGCAATCCCTCCCTAGGTATCTACCCTAAGAATACAAAAACACTAATTCAAAGACATATATGTATTCCTATGTTCACTACAGCGCCATTTACAAAGGTCGACTTATGGAAACAACCTATGTGTTCACAAAAAGATGAGTGGATAAAGAGGTGATGTATAGAGACAATGGTATGCTACTCAGCTATATTTCACTCAGCTGATTTCACTATGCTAAATGAAGTCAGTCAGAAGGGGAGAGACAAATACCAGGTGATTTTACTCATCTGTGGAATATAAACAAAGCAAAGGAGCAGACAAAAACATATCTTTGAAATATGTCTGCAGAACTAAGGCTACCAAAAAGGGAGGGCAGGTTATGAGAGGGAGGGCAGTGTATGAGAGCAAGGGCAGAAAGGAAAACAATGAATTATGATAGCAGATAATTGGGGCTCTGGTGATGGGCACGGTGTGATAAGCTACATTTGTAGAGCTGTGAACCTATAACCCTCAAACATGATCTCAATAAACATACATATATACACACACACAGCCCTGCCTCATTGTATTGTACCCCCAAATCAATCTACAATTCCAGGTGTGCAAATAAGAAGAGATCTGTTATCTTACAGGAAGGACTACATATATAATATTAACTTCTCAGGGACAAAGAAGCCATTAGTCTACACTTTATTTCTTTGGACTGATTTTTGGAGAGTTCTTTGAGACATGATTAAAAGTAATTGACCAATTCCAGGGCCTCCCCGGTGGCGCAGCAGTTGAACGCTGGGTTGCAAAGCTGCCCGCAGCCTCTGCAGCGCCGGTTCAATCCCCGGCTGCTCCCCGGCCACCAGAGGAGGGTCCCACATGGCGCGCAGACCTCTCCTGCCGCCCGCTGCTCCCCTCAGCAGTGTACTTCGGTCCTTCTGCCTGCTCTGCTCCCCGCTCTGGCTCTGGTGAATTCTCTCACCCTCCCGTGCTTCTGACTGTACCCAGTGCTTGTATGTATAAATAAATAAATAAATGAATAAATGAATAAATCCTTAAAAAAAAAGTAATTGGCCAATTCCAGCCTTAGAAATTATTTAATGTAAGTAGACTGATAAACTAATGAATAAATTCAGTTCAGTGGTGCTGGTACTGAAAATGTTAAAATGAAAAATGAAAAAACTTGCTCTTACCTGGATCTGATTCCGTAGTTGTTCTGCTTCCTGCCTCAACTGTTCCAGTTCACTCATCCTGAGACTGTAGTTCCCTCAGGAATTAACAAGGGAAAGCAACTGTTAAAAAATAAGAGTGGGAGAAGAGATTCACTAAATTAACCAGTAAATTAACCTACTTTAAAATTACTGATATGGGGGTTCCCCTGGTGCCTCAAGGGGTTAAGATGCAGCACTAGGAAGCTACCTGCAGCCACTGCAGCATGAGTTTGATCCCTGGCCAGCGAGGTGACCCACATTGCGCAGCAGACCTCTCCAGGCTCGCCCGCTGCTTCCCTCAGCAGTGTATTTCAGTCAATCTGCCCGTTCTGTTCCCCACTCTGTCTCTAGTGGATCCTCTCACCCCCCCAAACCTCTGGCCTATACCCCAGCTCTTGTGTGCATAAATAAATAAATCTTTTAAAAAAGAGAGAGAGAAAATATGACACTCCTAAGAGGAAATCTGTGATGACTACCCTTAATTCTATCAATGGTGATACAAATGTTTATTTTTTTTAGGGTTAAATTTAAACATATTGTCAAATTAAGAAATAGATCTCCTGATACATATAGTTTTAAAAACCATTGCTGAATCAATAAAAAAATAATAAAAGTAAATCTATTAGGATTGATTGCGATGGCATTAAATTACAAAGTAATTTCAGAGGAGCTGACATCATTCTAATATTCCATTTTCAATTTATTATTGTGATATATTTCTCCATTTATCTAAATTTTCAGCAAATGGGTAATTTTCTTCATGAGTTTTAACCAATTCTTGCTAAAGTTTTGCCATTTAGCAATTTAGTAAGCTCCTGACTTACTAAAGTGGGTTAGATCCCAGACATGGAATATCATTCTGCCTCATGAAAATAAGCAACATGCAGGTTCCTTAAAGTCACAACCCTAATCGCCCTTGTTGGACCATACCTGAGAGCTGGCAGGCTCCAAAATACTAGAAACTCTAATTTTTTTTGTAAAGATTTATTTATTTAAATACAAGATAGATAGATCTTATATTATAATCTTATATTGCATACAAGAACTAGGGTACAGGTCAGAGATGGGGGGGTAAGAGGATTCACCAAAGACAGAGTGGGGAGCAGAACAGGCAGACTGACTGAAATACACTGCTGAGGGGAGCAGCGGGTAAGTCCGGAGAGGTCTGCTGTGCCATGTGGGTTGCTCCCTGGCCAGCCAGGGATCGAACTTGTGCTGCAGAGGCTGTGGATTGCTTCATAGTGTGGTGCTTAATCCCTTGTGCCACGAGGGAGGCCCAAAACTCTTAATTGGTTTCAATGCTGCTTCGTTTTCTGGGTTCCATAAAATCCTGGGCAAGGAGGACTGGTGTTAAGTTCCTCCTACTGGATCAGTCATGTATTAAAAAGGAGTATCAAGACACTCTTAATGGATCTCATAACTTTTAGGGTCATTCCAAAACACCCCTAACACACTCCTTACTGCCATTCCATTCCCCAAAGCCAATCCCACATGCAGGGAACTCTCTGGAATGGAGTGACCTGCAGCTGGGCAAGAGCTCCTCAGGCCAGTCTATGATCTGTACCAAATGAGTTTCCAGCCTGGGTTCCCCAAAGGATGAAAGTATAGCAAAATAGAGCTGGGCAAGATTCCTGTTGCTGAACTTTGGGGGCAAATAACTAAGGCCTACTTGGAACAGGACTCAACTCCTAACATAGAGCCAGAAGGTTGTGTTCCAAGTCTCGGGACCACAGGGAGCACATGGCTCGTCTTGAAAGTGAAGGTGTTTATGCTTGAGATGAAACTGAATTCTATCTACGCAAGAGATGTACTTATGTGCACAAAACAAAGAGCAACACAGTGACTCCTGGTGGCAAGCCAAATAAAACTAGAGAAATCTGAGGAAAGGTAACACATACCCAGGGAAACAGCGGCATAGTTAGTGCCAAATTCTGCAACAATCTTCCTGCTAGGGCCACAGGACACAGAATCTGTGCGGCACTGTACCTCTCAAGGATCTAAATTTACTGAAAAGCCAAAAAATAAAAGTAGATTTCTAAAAAAAATTAAAAGCAGTTGCTTCATTACCACTCTGTAGATTCAGGGACTGCCAGGAGAGGTTATGAGTCTTAAATGTCCCTGTCCATTCTTGCTGGGTATCTCAAGAATAGAGTCCTTACTGGTTGACTTCTCAATATTGTATTTGTAGAGAGCAACCTTGAGAGATGAGACAATGTGTACCCATAAGACAAACAACAGGTTTGCTTAACCACGAAAGTGGTGAGGTCTTCAAGCCCAATGTTTCTGTGCTGTGACACCAAACAAATATGTGGCATCCATTCAGATGCACCTGTGTCACCCCCATGAGATTTGAGAAGCACAGAGAATCATGTCTCAAAGAACTCCCCAAAAATCAGTCCTAAGAATGAGTAGACTAATGGCCTGTTTGCACATGTATTGTACATACTTCCTATGCTATGGGCATGCTGTGCTTGATGTCTGACCAAGCAATCTCATTTTCTGCCAGAATCAATGAAACAGTAACAGTTACTTTATTAGTGTGGAAGTATGTAAAATCCCAGAACTTTCACACTCTTTGAAAGAAGAAGGCTCATAAGAAAGGTGAGGATTCCAACTGGAATTCAGTGGGCAGTGCTACTTCCCTTCTTTTTTAAAAAATCAAGATGTAATTGACATAACATGGTGTCAGCTTAAGGTGTACAATACATTGATTTCACACATTTATATACCGCACTAAGATCACCCTGTGTAAATGTGAGCTAACACCTTTGTCACATTCCAGAACTACCATTTCTGTTTTGTGGCTAGGACATTTAAAATCACCTAACACAGTATGTTGACCATAATCAGTGTGCAGCACATTAGAGCATCAAAATATATTCACCTGTGGTTGAAAGTTACACTTCCCTCCTTATGCAGATTAGATCCCAGGGCCAAGACTTCATCAACAATTTTGCCAGCACCCTAGCTACCCAACCCGTCTATTTTTTTACTCTCTCAAGGCAAACTCACAACCTTGGATGAACCTAACTACCTACTTTCTTTTCAGCTAAGACCCAAACTACCAAACACGGATTGAAAAAGTCAGCCAGTGGGGCACATTAGTTGTGCTACAACTGGGTCCTCCAAACTACTTGGTCCCTCTATGGAGTTTTCACTCATTCCTTCTGTTAGGGGGAAAGGATGTCCTGAGATAATCTCATACAGGCTTTGTGGACTCCACCCCCACTCCAGCCTAAAGCCATCAGGACATTGGGAAAGACAAATCCCATCACCACCAAGGGGAGGGTGGCTGGGACCTGAGGGTGGAGTTGGGCAGCCAGGTTGGATATAAAAACCAAACACGTGGGCCTTGCTCGCTCTCTGGCTCGCGATCGCTCGCCTCCTGGCTTCACCGCTCCTGGCTGGCGGCCAGCTCTCAGAGCGCCATTTTGGGATTCCTGATCGGCGGATCGGGTAGGACTCATTTAAAACTCTGTCTCCCACTTTTCTCCCAGAGCTGTACATTTCCTCATTTCCCTTTCCCTTGTAAATAAACCTTTTATTAACCTTTCCCGTGTGCCTGCAGTAGAGCATTGATAAGTCCTTTTAAGCGTGCCTGAGGACCCACAGTCAGGCACCCCGTTTTGTATCGGGGTTGCTCTACAACACTTCCACTTTTAGTGGTAACTAATACCTTAGGGATGTTTTCAAGATTTTGAGTTTCTCACAACCCCTCTTGTAGCATGTAACCTCATCTTCTATATCATAAAGTAAAACGCATCATGAAGTTGTCATCAAGTATGAATGTTTGCAATTTTTGAATACTTCATATACATAACCATCCATAATGACTAACCTGCCATATGCTCCTCCTTCCTTTCTATTCTAATAGAAGAGCTGACTTTTCTGTCATTTGGACCAATTCTTCCACCTATCATTTAAATCTGACCACTTCCAGTATTCTTATACTTCTAATTATCCCTTTTTTTCTACTATCTTCCATCTGTCACTTTTTTCTCATGACTTTAGTCTTTTTATTAAGATAATTTTCAAACACAGAAAGGTAGCTCCATATGGATGTCCGTAAAGGATATCCATAATACCCACAATGTAGGTTTTTAAGTTGTTAATACTATTGTATTAGCTTCATCTATTTTTTTTTGTGGATGTATTTTAAAGTCAATTACAGATATCAAGACATTTCACCGTTAAATACTTAAGCATACATCACCATATATCAAGACATCTTTCTACTAACCATAAACCATTAATAAACTTAACAAAATTAACAGTAACTATGTAATAATCTAGTATGCAGTCTACAATATGTGATTTTTTAAGAAAAATATGTATTTGGTCACCTAAATGACCAAAATATATTTCTCATAAACATTTGGTTTTCTTCCAGTTCCTGACTCTCAGCGATCAAAACCTTCAGAATTTCCTAAGTATGCAAAGATGGCTTTTGTTACGTGAATAAGGTGACTTTTAGGGAAGCACCTAAAGACAAGTGCTGGTTGTCTGGAAAACCAACAATGAAATTAGAGAGTTGGAACTTCCAGTCTCACCCACAGACCTCCAGGGAAGAGAGATGGGCTGGGGTGTAGTTCAACTGTCAGAGGAACCGTAAAGAGTCAAAGAATGCTGTCCTAAATCAACTATAAAGGAATTACAATGCCCAGAATGCCATGATTTCCTGATGGGGGGGCGGGGGGGAGGGCTAGTGAGCACCAGAGGCAGAGCTAAGGGCAAACAGCTAGGTGGTGGGGGCTTTAAAACACTGAAGGCAGGTGGGCCTGACTCTTGCTTTTACAGCTCTGAGGGGCACCCTGGTATTGCTAGTAGGACAATGTGTAGCCATATGCAAGTCAAACAACTCCCCCCTCCTTCCTTCCTCCCTCCTTCTTTCTCTCTCTCCCACACACACTTCTTTTAATGCTCCTTGTAAACAAACTTGTTTTATGTTCCTTTTTGCTTATCTGCTTTTGAGTCTTACCCTGAGGTCTTAAGCATATCAGTAAGGACTCACAAACTGAGGCACACCCCTTTTATTTCTGAGATTGCCTCTAACAAAATTGCCACCAGCCAGTGATTTAATC